CTGGGTAGGCGCGGCATGCCTCACGATCTACTGGACTAACTTCTTCAGGGTCATTTGGGAGTCTCCGCTCGTCAACCGCACCTACTTTCACCTCGCCATGTTTTGTCTCATGTTCAACATGTCCATGCTGGGATACCTAGCCATATGGTGCAGCTCGATAAAGGGCATAAAAGACCCGTGGGAGACGCACAACCCAAAGGTCATCCCAGCCATGGCAGTCATGGGAGTCACAACCGTATTCCTGTTCTTCTTTGCGTTTTGGCCCGTGTGGGGATTCCTCACACTGCTGATCCAGCTCGTTTTCTTCCTCGGATTCCTGAGCGCGGGGCACTTCCTGCCCAGCGGCACGCCCGGCTCGATACTGATGTTCATCATCTTTTTCGGCGCGTTCTTCACTTCGGAGCTCATACCCCACGAGGGCCTGGCGCACTACACCCCGAGACCGTCTGCGGCGGGCGCCCGCTGAGCCCACAAGAGGCCGCCGCGAGGCGAGGCGCCACCCCTTGTCTGGCGCCTCGCCAGCCCCTGGAGCCTCGCCCCTCCTCTCATCGATCACACAAAGTGCCCCTAACCCTGAGAACACGATGAAGACGCGGCCTCAGTGAGGTCCCCGTCTTCGCATTAGAGATAAGACATCTGGGCGGCTTGGCCTGATACGTCTGCAGAAAAGACCCCTTTGTCCCTAATGTTTCTGGCCCTCCTGATTTAGGTTCCCTCCCAAAGGGTTAGGGGCCCTTTCTTGGTTAATCCTCCTCTTCCGAAGGGAAAGGATTGCAAAGGCAAGCTCTCGGAGGTCCGTGCGGACTTCTCGTGTCGGCGCCGCCCCTGGCGCGCTCCGTGCGCCGGGGGGGGGGCGTTCCAGCGCCGATCCAAGAAATCCGCGTGGACCTCCGACATTTTTAGCTCATACAGTTGTTTGTTCCTTTACTCTTCGAATCGGAGATCGACTACATAATTGATGTGCCCTAGCATTCATGTTTCGCCGAGTCTACGAACATGTCATGTCTCTATGTTCCGTAGACCCACCAAAATCCAACGTACGACTAGAACGATTCGACGAAGCATCAAGCCTGAGGTACATCAATTCCGTGGTCGATCTCCTGCCCGAACCCTGGGCAATGACCACCTCTGGCAACCTCCAGGTCGGACAGGCCTTGTATGGGAGTAGATGGCTCCAGAGCGTCCTAGAACATTCTCTGGAGCGCTACAGGACGCCTGGGAACGAGCGCAGCACCCGATGCGTCTTTCAGACCCGCCGGCTCACAGGGAGTTCCACATACGGCCGCAATTTGAGGGTCCGCGCGGCGGCGCCGCCCATTTCGGCACACCTCTCGCGAGGATCGCTATCATGTAGAGAGTTCCACCTACGTCCTGCCTCGGTGGGAAAGTTTGTCGGAGATGAGGGAGTGAGATCGAAGTGGAACGGAGAGCCCCCCTACCGGGAAATCGGTTTCCGTTTCGTGTTCGTGCGTGCCGTGAGTGCGGGCGAGGCGAAGCTGCGTGGGCGGGCGAGAAGAAAGTCTCCTCCGGCTGAGGCGCGGCCGGACCAAATGTTTCCTTTCCGGGGGCCGGTGGGGCGCGGTGTCCCGCCGGTGTCCCGCCTCCGGCTGAGGCGCGGCCGGACCAAATGTTTCCTTTCCGGGGGCCGGTGGGGCGCGGTGTCCCGCCGGTGTCCCGTCGGTGTCCTGATGATGATGATGATGATGATGATGATGATGATGATGATGGTGATGGTGATGGTGATGATGATGATGCTGCTGCTGAAGATGAAGATAATTATAATGATGGTGATTATGATGATGTCGATGATGTTGATGATGATGGTGATGGTGGTGATGAAGATGGTGTCCCGATGATTATGATGATGATGATGATGATGATGATGATGATGATGATGATGTTGACGATGTTGGTGATGATGATGATGATAATGGCCATGGTGGTAATGATGATGGTGTCACGATGATGATGATGCTGATGATTCTGATCTTGCTGATGATCATGATGGTGTCCCGATGATGATGATGATGATTATGATGATGATCCTGATGATGTTGATGATGATGAGATGATGGGATGATGATGGTGATGCTGATGATGATGAGGATGATGATGACGGTGTCCCGGTGATGATGGTGATGATGAGGTTGATGATGATGCCGTTGATGATGATGATGATGACGATGATAGTGATGTTGATGCTGGTGTCCCGATGATGATGTTGATGATGATGACACTCATGATATCCCGATGATGATGATGATGTTGCTGACGAGGATGATGATGAGGTGATGGTGGTGATTTTGATGATGGTGGCCCGATCATGATGATGATGGTGTCCCGATGATGGTGATGATGATGGTGATAATGATGATGGTAACGATGATGATGGTGTCCGGATGATGAAGTTGATGATGATGGTGTTGTTGATGATGATGTTGTTTTTGATGGTGATGATGAGATGAGATGAGATGAGATGATGATGATGATGATGATGTTGATGATGATGGTGGTGTTCCGATGCTGATGATGATGATGGTGTCCCGATGATGATGATGATGATGATGATGATGGTGGTGAACATGACGGTGACGATGATGGTGCCCCGATGACGATGATGTTGACGATGATGATGTTGATGATGATGGTGATTAGGTGATGATGATGATGATGATGGTGATGATAGTGTCCCGATGATGATGATGATGATGGTGGTGGTGATGATGATGATGATGATGTTGATGACGTTGATGACTATGATGTTGATGATGATGACGTTGATTGTGAGATCGATTGTGATTTCGATAGTGAGATCGATAGTGGGACCGAATGTGAGATCGATTGTGAGATCGACAGTGAGATCGATAGTGGGATCGATTGTGAGATCGATAGTCAGATCGATTGTGAGATCGATCGAATGCAAAAGATCAAGTGAGAATCGATTGTGAGATCGATCGAGTGAGATCGATCGAGCGAGACCGATAGTGAGATCGATAGTGAGCTCGATAGTGAGATCGATAGTGAGACCGATCGAGTGAGATGTTGGTTTCTCCCCCCCCCGAACCTCCTTAACACCCGAAGGGTGGTCGTATAGGTATGCGTACTGGCGCCCGTTTCGACACGACCCCAAAACGAGTCCCACCCGCGGCCGCGGTGGGAAACTTGCATGCATTTCCCCACGCATTTCGGCGAACTACTTACGCGTTTCGCGCCCATACGGCCTCAGTTGATAAATTTGCACCCCCACCCACCCCATCCCACCCGCCCACCCGCCCCACCCAATTGAGCATGTCCTGCATACAAGCCGTGCGTAGAGAGTTCCATCGCCAACGTTAAATGAAGGTGTTAAGAGTTAGGCTCCTCGCCTGGCTAATTGAAAACTAATGGGCAAATGCCGACGATGCATCGGCGGGTTGGCGAGAGTACATTGGCAGAGCGTCATTGCCTTTGAAAAAGAAACGACCGCCGCTCGCGCCAAGCAGGCAACATGCAGCGCCAGTCCCACGGGCTTGGAGCACGCAGGTGTCGGTGGGTCCCTGATGGAGCGCCACCGAACAGAGAACTGCTTCGCAAGAGCCTTGGAGTCAGGTGGGCCACGAGGGGAGGGCACCCGAGCAGAGCCCAGCGATGGCAAGCGGGCAACGCATCGACAGCGCACCAGATGCAGGACGTATGCCCGCCATGCAGTCCAGGACTAGACAACAGCAACAAGCGAGTGCGAAACAGATTGGTCATGGGGGATGCTCCGAGGCCGAGCCAGGGCTTCACGACAGAACGCCTGCGCGTGGACATCGCAGTCTGTTAATCTGAAAACAAAACGAGAATATGGCATAATCCACAAACGAGTGGTGTTCAGCTCAGGCGTCCTGGGGAAGGTTATGCGACCTTGCGAGAGGCTTCACTGCACATCGCAAGTACCTGGAGAATGTAACCAACCACTGTTCACAGGACTGCCTGCCGCGAACCCAGGACCATCAGACGAAGGCAAAGCGCTTGGGCAGTCGAGGCGCAGAAAAGTTCGGAGAGGGTGGAGACCCTTTAATACATTATCGCAGTTGATCTTGCCATGCCCATTTAAGCTCCTTGGAGCACAGTACGCGGAGACCTGCCTTACAAAACAGAGCCCAGTGCATGTAGCTACCGCAACGCATGCACCAGAACAGCTGTGGCCTGCCTGCGCAAACAGGGAAAGACAACAATGCTGTGACCACTCGTCTGCAATATCGAGGTCGGGCTGATCGGAGCCGGGGGGGAGGAGAAGGGAGGAGGAGAAAGTGGTGGAGAACTGCCCCCCATGATGCCGCATCTCGTCCGCCTCCACGTGGAGGATGAAGAGGGGCGGACGAGGAGGAGGAGGAGATCTCGCCTCTCTCGTCGACCCGCGCGCCGTTGGGGCGGCTTCAATCAGGGGGCGGCCGAGCCCTGCCGAGCTTAAGCTCGACCGAGGAAGGCGTGCGATACCGGGGTGAGCCGAGGCGCTCGCCGACCGAGAGTGAGTTGCTCCAGAAAAAGGCCCACCCATCCCAGAGGAGGAACATGTACCGATACCGGTGCCCGTGCCTTCCCCCCAAAGGTCCCCCCCCCTTTGCCTCGTTTTCCTCTATTTGGGCCTCCTTGGGAGGCCCTCGTCGCCACGGCTGGATTCGCCTTGAAATTTTGGTCAGGACGCACCCTGGGAGGGGTCTGGGGAGTAGTGGTATTGGTACCGCTTGCTTTCCCCACCCCCATCCCAGTCAGGGGACGAGTTCGCCCGGGGCGCTGTCGCTGACTTCTCTCCCTGCGCATGACCTTTCTACAGTGCTGCGCGTGCAGAACCACTTTGCGGTAGGTCTGGACAGCCTGTGTTTCGCCCAGTACCTCGGCTTGCAGGACAAGCTTGACAATGCGATGGACATGACACCCCCAGTTGCGAGAAGTCCCAGAGATGGTTACCTTGCAGGCGCCTTGCAGGTTTCGATTGTTTCTCTGGACCGGAACGCATCAGCCCGGGGTTAGTCACGCTGAGCCGTCGCGGCTGCTTCCCCATTCGTTATCCCGTCTGCTCCACGATCTCTGTTGCACTCATTTTGAACCACCCAGGATACCCCATAGATGCAGAAGAGTGAGCCCGTATCCAGCGTTGCATCTCCGTCTCGTCTTGATGTCGCCGCCACCGCCGCCGCTGCTGCCGCTGTTCCTCCTCTTCCTCATCTGGCATGTCCCCTGCTCCCCCTCAAGCCGTTTCGGCTCACGATGGGAGGGGTTGCACATCGTGTAATTACATTTCGCTGATGTTGATAGTTACCGAAACTCCATAGGTTTTAACAAGCCTACAACAGCCATGCGCGCCAGGTGCATATGCTTGCTTTTGTTCGTGCCCACGTGCATGACTAGCGGTGCCAGGGATCAGGCGCATACCATCGACGACACAACGGGCACCACTCTGCTGCAAATTTCGGGAGGGGAGCGATCTGACCCCCCCAGCACGTTCGAGGCGTGTGGCGAGACATGGACGTACGGTGAGATCGCCTATTGGTCCCGCACTCCCACTACAGTCTCGCACGTCGCATGCGCCTCCAGCGCGAACGAAGCGACCATTGGCATTTGCCGGACGGATGGCAAGGGACACAATTTTTACAGCGCTTGCAAGGAGGAACCAGCCAACAAGTGCGATGGATACTCCGACATGTCCGAAAACCGGGGGCTCTGGTTCGTCTTCTGTAAGGATTTGACACGACCTCAGCCAGCCGATAGCCAGCTGCGCAATCGTCGGTCGCCGTTCTTCCCCTCATGATCGTCCTCCTCCCAATGACAACTACACAAACAATCAAACGTTGGACTTGCCCTGGAACGTAGCGTTCTGACCAGGATTCCTAGACGGATCCAGCCACGGCAACGAGGACCCCCAGGAGGCCCAGGTAACGCGAAAAAAATGAAATCATCCAAATCTTCTACTCCCTACTGCTTCTCCTCCTCCTCCTCCTCCTCCTGCTCCCATCCTGCTCTTTGCATTCCCCCTCCCCCGCTCGATCGATCGGATCAGGTGGAGGAGGCGGTCCGATCGATCGATCGACCCTTGATCGATGGACGACGACGGTTGGCGATCGCGGTCGCAGCGTGCGCCCGCGTGGTTCGCGTTGCCAGCCCCTGCTTTGCTTGACACGAGGCGGCCCGATCGTACGGGCGGCATGGGGGGAGGAGGGAGGAATGGGGGGGGAGGAGTGGGAGGGAGGAGCAGGAGGAAGAGGAGGATGTACGCGCCCCAGACGGGTCGGTGCCGTCTCTCTACACTCGCGGCCGCGGCCGCGCATCTGGCCAGCTCAGCGGCAGACCGCCGCCGCTAGCCCAGCTCCAGCAGCTCGACTACGATCTTCTGCGGCACGGACGGAAAGAGAGACTTGCCGAGCCGCGAGAGGACGCACTTGCCCTTCGAGGAGGGCTGGCCGCACTCGTACTTGAAGCTGCCACTCCTCGCGGCCCCAGTCGCCCCGCAGACCAGGCACGCGATCGTGGGCAGGGCGCGGACCAGGGCGCTGGCAGGCGGCCATGGGCAGCAGCATTCTTCGCCGCATTGTCGGCGAGCCGGTTGCCGTACCAGTCACGGTACGTGATGCGGCCACCGCCGACCACCGACCTCCGAGATTGGCGCGCAGGCATCTTCCGCCCTGTGAGGCCATAAACCGCCGAACTCGTCCAGGAGCCTCCACACCTCACGCCACAGATGAGACCACGCGTTGCCAAAGCTAAGGGTTTTGGCGCGCTTGTGCGCCCACTGAGGCCCAGGAGCTTGTCCACGATCGCGGTGACGGGCGGCATCGCGAACCGCAGCACCGCCAGCATCGCCGAGAGCTCCCTACCGATGGTGCCCACGAAGGCCTCGCACGGCACGCCCGAGGCGCCCATGTCGAACTCTTCGGCATCGGGCAGCAGGGCAATGACCGCCCAGCCGACGTTTGCATACCTGCCGAAGTCGCCATCGTATGCAGAGCCGTCCAGGAACAGCTCCCCCGTCGGCATGCAACCTCCGCGCTGGCCATTCAGCACTCCTCAGGCGTATCGCCAGGCCCACAGGCGACGGCCACAGCGCCCTCTCGACCAGCACCTCCACCTCGGGCAGGTCGGCGCTCATCGGCAGGTCGCGCCATCTTGCTCGGCGGTTGGAGCTCGCCGGGCCACCCGTTGCAGCAGCAGGGCTCGTGGAGGAGCGTGCCCGCCTCGCCGCAGAGGAGGCACGTGCCGTTGAGGGCCAGGCCGCGCTCGTGTCTGCGACTCTGCGACCACCGGCCCTCGACGATGGCGGAGGCCAGGTGGCCCATCTTTACTGTGACAGGGAGTTGCTCTTCCCGATTTTGCTCTCTTAGTTGATTTCATCACTTTATTACCGGTACCTTCTTGGATACAATCTCTGCTACTTCTGATGTCTTTATGTCCTCTACACTAGTACCGCTGAAGCCAGTACTCTGCCACTACTAATGCCAGGGGAGCGAGTCGCACCGCTGAACAAGCTCCCGCTGCTCGCAGCGGGGACCGCTGCCCAGCGGGTTCTGAGATTCCGAGCTCAGCAACCTCTGGCGGCGGCGACCGCTGACCAGCAGGCCCTGACACTCGGAGCAGCACACGTGTCGATGCCGACTGCTGGCCAGCAGGTTCTGACATTCCGAGCTCAGCAAAATGTGGCGACACTGGCCGCTGGGCAGGGGATTCTGACGCCCAGACATGGCGGCCAAACACCCCATTGCGCCCAATAGCGCCCGACTTCGCCGTCCTCACAAGCGGGTCGAGCACGCCACCGTTGGCAAGATGTTCGAGCCCCGGCCGCTTGCTGCCTTGAACTCACTACCAGGACTCGACGGCACGCCACAGCAGCAGCTTCAGCATCCATGGCGCAACGTCGAAGATTCCGATGTCGACACCCCTGTGCGTCATCCAAGTCATGCCACCCACGATGACCTAGCCTCTCCTCCCGAGCGACAGGCGCGCCCCCGAGAAAGGCCCACGCACCTGGCACCAGCTGGAAGCACGGCACTGCGTCGTCCCGAACGCGGTGACGCGCTGGGGGATCGATCCGCTGCTCCCACACCGCCCGCAACATGGCCACGATGGGAAGGGCAGTGGCACGGTGCATGGCGTCCAGGAGCTGCGCGGGCATGGGCGTGAGCGATCCCGATCGGCCTGCCGCGTCGGGGGGCTCTGCTGCGAAGACCACACACCCGAGCTTGTCGAGCTCCATCTTGGCGCAGCCCGCGACAGCGAACCCGCATGAGACAATCGCCTCCAGGCCAGGCGTCGCCACCTCGCGCACGGCTCGGGCCTTGGCCGCGTCGTGAGGATCACGGGCGCGCAGGACGATTGGGCGCGTCGCGGTCACGACCCGGTCCTCATGCACATGAGTTTTGCCGATGTGCGCCACGTGGGTCTACCGCTGCGAGAAGCCCAACGGCCGGTGGAAAGAACAGGCCTGCGCGCGGCACATGGACTTCGACTTCGCGCCTCGCTGCGCGCTGTATGCGACCCGCAAACAGCGCCTGGCCCCCAAGCTCCGCGCGCCCCTACCATGTCGACGATGAACAAGGACAGCGAAACCGCGCGCCTGTACAAGCAGCTGCTCCTGAGGCTTTTGGAGGTGGAGGACGCGGGGGCGCCAGAGGACGAGTGCATGCTGCAGGCGCTTGCGCCCCTGATGGAGGCTCCCGACGCGCCCCGTGACATGAATGAGCGCCGGTCAATCTGTTTCACGCGAGCCTGGACGCAACGCGAGGCTCGGGCAGACGAGGAGGCCCGAATCGCCGCGGCGCGTTTCCTGGTGCGGCACGAGTGGCCCCCGATCTGGGAGACGCAGGAGGTGCAGGGGGAACTATTCGCGCTGCACCAGGCGTGGGCGCAGGGCAAGGGCGAGGAGGCAACCCTGACGTGGTGGTATGACCAGACACGCCAGGACGGGTCGGACCAGGCGGGCGAGCCCTAACAAGCCGGCAAGGTCGGGCGGGCGAGCCTGGGAGGCAGCGGGGGGAAAGCTGGTTGGCTGTCTGGCGCCTCCCAGCGGGATGAACAGCAGGAGGAAGCGGAGGAGGAGGAGGAGGAGGACCAATGCAAACCCAAGACTCATCAACATGTTGCAATCACTTTCTCTCCAAGTTTGCTCATCACAAGCTCCTGCAAGGGTTGACTTTCCCCGAGGACAGCTTCCAATGTGAAGAAAACCGTTCGACATTCTTAAGCCGCTGTAAACACTTAAGACGAATATGCGCGGTGCTGAGGCGAGAGCTACATTTTGAAAAGGTACCAGCCTCCATCCGTGAAGCTCGTGCAAACTCTCGACACGAATGTGCGCGGCGCGGAGGCGAGAACCGCATTTCGAAAAGGTACTGGCTTCAATATCGGAAACTGCTGCGAATGTTTAAGACGAGCGCCCGCGGCGCAAAGGCGCGAGCCACGTTTTGAAAACGGCCCGTTTTCAATTTGTTCCCCATTTAGGCTCTGCCTAGAAGAGTTCTTACTCTCTTGACTTAAAAGGGCCGGGCAGTGGAACCCGCCCCTGGCGGTTCCCCCAGTATCCGCCCCGCGGTTCCCCCGGCTGCGTCCTTTTAGCTTAGCGTTACTTATCTCATCTTAGCTTAGCTTATTTCATCTTAGCTTAGCTTAGCTTAGCTTAGCTTAGCTTAGCTTGGCATCATCTTAGCTCAGGTTTATCTTAGCTTAACTTACCTCCATCTTAGCTTCGCTGAGCGTTTGCATAGCAGCGCACAGCATAGCGTAGCATAGCATAGCGCGGCACAGCATATCATAACATAGCCAATCATAGCGTAGCATAGAGCAGCATAGCATAGCATAGCATAGCGCAGCACAACACAAAAGAGCACAGCGCAGCATAGCATAGCACAGCACAGCAGAGCATAGCGCAGCTTAGCATAGCATAGCGTAGCGTAGCATAGCATAGCATAGCATCGCACAGCGCAGCGTGACATAGCTTAGCCTACCATAGCATATCATATCATAGTACGGCGCAGCATAACATAGCATAGCATAACATAGCATAGCATAGCATCGCATAGCCTAGCATAGCATAGCGCAGCATAGCATGGTATAGCTTAGCATAGCATCGCATGGCAACGAATGCTGCTTCTCTAGGGGCTCTAACTTCTAGGTAGGGTCGCACTGGGGTAATTCAACTGTTGTTATTCTTTAAGACGAATGCGCGCGGCGATTTGGCGAGAGCCACGTTTTGGAAAGGTACCGCCTTCCATCCGTGAGACTCTTGCAGACTCTTGGGACGGATGCGCGCGACATGACGGCGAGAGCTACATGTTGAAAAGATGTTGCCCTCCGTCCGTGAAGCCTTCGCAAGTTTTTAAGACGAATGCGCGCGGAGTTGAGGCGAGCCTTACATGTTGAAAACGGCCCGCCTTCCATCTGTGAAACCCTTGCAAGCTTTCAGATGAATGCGCGTGGCGCTAAGGCGATAGCCACATTTCGAAAACCACCCGCCCTCCATCAGCGAACCTGACGCAACTTCTCAGCTAAAGGGTTCTGAATTGTGAGGAAGTCTCAGGCGCAACGCCGGGCCCGCCCTACCGACACGTCACGGGGTGCGACAGGGACGAATTTTTCAGAAATAACAGGGATGGAGGAGGAGGAGGAGGCGGAGGAGGAGGAGGAAGAGGGCGGCGGCCGTGTCTCGAGGGCGCTGGGGGAAAACCGAGGTGCGGTGATGATGAGATCCTCGATGCGTCCGTGCTTGGCGCATCTCGCCGTCCCCCCTCCCCTCTCTGCACTGCCTGGGCTCGATCCGCGTGGTGAATGCCCCGCCGTCGCCCGACCGCGTCGTGCCGTGCCCGTCGCAGCCTGGCCCCCGCCCCCTGAGTAAAAGAGAGCTCGACGCAGCCGAGCGGTGCGAGTGCTCCCGGGTGCGCTGCGGCCCCTGTCACGGTGGTCGGGGAGGCCCACCTAGACCAAGAACGTCCACCCCCGCCATTCCTCGCGGGCCGCCCGCCCTGGAAAAGTAGCGCAGCGCAGCGCAGATCGAGTATGGATGCAATGCTCAGGGGGGCAGCGCAACGCGGTGCATTACAGCGCAAGGTAGAGGAAGTCGGGGCGTCGGAATGCAGAGAAGCACAGCGAAGTGAAACGTACGGCAAGAGCAGTAAGTGTAACGCAACGCAGTCGACCACGATTCAGCGCAACGAGTCGCGGCGCCACGCGACGCGATGCAACGCGATGCACAAATGAATAGCATAATGAGCAAAGCGAGCAGCACACTGCAGTGTGCTGCAATGCGCTACGGCAGAGAAAGCAAGGCAGAGCAGAGCAAAACGAATGCTTGCCACCGCATGTGATAGCGCGGCCCCTGCTGGTCTACATGCTCAAGCATGTTGTACGTTTCAGCGCGTGTTCTTTTCAGCGTGACCTCGCTTCGCGGTCTGCGAATGTGACCTCGCTTCGCGGTCTGGGCCGGACAGCATTTCCTTCTCCAGGTTCTGGGGGGGGGGGGGGGGCGGCGGGTGCGAGGGCGCGACGAGCACCGCGCAGGCGAGGGAGCGCGAGGCGAGCTGGGACCCTCTGCGTCGCGGCTGCGAGCGGCCCGCGCTCGACGGCCGGAGGGCTCGGCCGGAAGCTGAGGACGAGACCCACCCCGGCGCCCACCCCAGCTCCGACGGCCTCGCCGACGGCAACACCGACGGCAACGCCGACGGCCTCGCCGACAGCCTCCCCGACGGCCTCTCGGACGCCCTCCCCGACGGCCTCGCCGACGGGCTCGCCACCCGACGGGTTGCCCGACGGAGTGGTGATCGCTCCTGGGGTCCTGCCGGCCGAGAATTCGGACGGGCACTCTACCGCCCCTGGGGCCCCGCCAGGCGGAGAAACGGTCGCGGAAGGAACGCTCGACGCCTTCAAGTCCTCCGACGGCCTGGAGTCGTCAGAGGACGTCGCGGGCGTGCGCGACGACCCCCACGTGCGCAACCTCAACAACGAGCGCTTCGACATCCGCCGGCCGGCCCTGTACAGGCACCCGCGCCGCCCAAACGGAGCTGGAGCAGGCGAGGCCGGAGGACTGCGCCGCATCGCCGCCGCATCGGCGATGTGGCGCGACCTCGAGCCCGATGCCCTCCACGCCCGGCGTGGCCGAAGCGTCGGCCACGCGGGGCGGCCCCGCGCCCCGAGGCCTCCGACACCCTGGCGTCTGCGCACGTGGGGCCCACGGAGCTCTCGGCACCTGCCCGGGGACCGCTTCTCCGTCCCAGCTCGGTCTTCCTGCGCCTCCCCCAGGGGGGCCACATGCGAACCCCTACCCCTACCCCCCAAGATTTCGGAGGGCGAGGGGGGGATTCACTTCGCCCTCCGAAATCGTGGGGGGTAGGGGTAGGGTTCGCATGTGGCCCCCCATTCCCCCCCCACCCGCCTGGTGATGAGGCTTCGGGGTGCGCACGGGCAGCCTCCCAGCTAGCCTCGACAGGCCTCCCGAGTACTCCCAGCTGGCAGGCCCCCGACTAGCCCGGGGCGGTCTCGACACTCTGGCGCCCCCTCCGGCGGCACCCCTGGGGCGCTCCACGCCACAGAGTTGAGGCGTTGAGACTCCCACGCGCTGGTCGGGAGGCCTGTTGAGGCCAGCTGGGACAACCTGGAGGGGCTGTACGTGCGCAACCCGAAGCCTCACTACCCCCTGGGCCCGAGGGCCGCACATGGAGCCCGAAGCCGGGAGAGAACAACCAAAAAAACACGGAATCGAGCAAGTCAGGGCGTCTGAGATCTAGGACGCCCATCTGTTTTGCAGGGGCGGCCTCACCGACCCCTAGCAAGCCATCCCGTTCCGTGACGTACCCCTCGCCTCGCCCCAAGGCGTATGCATGCGGCAAGAGGGGAGCTCGAAAGGCAAGAGTGGCGTCACAGAAGGGGATGGTTTGCTAGGGGTCGGTTAGGCCGCGCCCGAGTTTGGATCCCTTTGGGGTGGCCTCCGAGGCTGCTGCGCGTGCCTCAAGACCAGAGGCTCCCGGCAAGCTTCGAGCTCAGTGCCGAGATGGGGAGCGACGGCGCTTCACCGTGCGGCGTATACGCAGGGGGCTCAGGCCCTCATCCGCCGGACCGGGGCTGGGAAGGAGTTGTTCGAGTAAGAGATCGACTACATAATTGATATACCCCAGATTGTTTCCGCCGAATCTACCAGATATGCGCATAATGTTAGCACATCTAGAGAAAATACGCACGTGGGTGTTTAGATTCAACCTAAATTTGAAGTTTGGGGTGCCTCAATTTTGTAGCCGATCTCATCCTCGATTTGTGTATTTCCGCTGCAGGGTGTCTTGGCCAGTGTTCTCCAGGGTGGATCGTCCCGGGTTGGCTTGCCTGCTTTGGAGATGCGGAAGGGAAGGAGAAGAAGCGGCGCCTCTCCGAGTCGGAGCTCAGGTCCAAGTTCGCTGATTGGGGCTCCATCGTGGGCCTCGCTGACTGGCGACCCGCCGATCGTCGATCGGGACCAGTGCGACCAATCCGGCCTCGTTTTTTTTGTTGCTGCTGTTGCTGCTGCTGCTGCTGCTCCTCCTTCCCTCTGTGGCCATGCTGGATCAGGTGGATCAAGCACACGGAGGGAGCCTCTGGCGACCATACGCATCCTCGTTCTCGTTGCATGCACTGCATAGCCTGCGTTGTTGCCATACGTGGTGTCTGCGATTCGAGTATCCATCGCTGGCACTGCCCATGAACTTTCCAAACTTTCGCGCCTAGCCAGAGTGCTGCCACGCGGCTTCGCTTCGGCAACGCTTGCTGGGCAATGGCTTTCCGCGGTGACTCATTATGTTCGACGCCTTTCTGCTGGTGTGATGCGTCTGTCTCCCCTCCTGCTGGTTTGATGCGTTCGCATTGCTTACCAGGGTAGCTTCACTCAAATCATTCGTCCGGTCATCCTAGGTGTGCCCCCCCATGCGTCCTTGAGTCGCATCAACGCACTTCTTTCATATAATGACCACTTCGGCATGACCACGATCCCAACAAGCCCGATGAGGTGCGGGCCTTCGAACTTGCGCCAATCTCACCGCTGCCAGCGGTCGCTCGTTGCCCTCTTCGCTTTCCGCCCCCGCGGCTGGTAGGAGTCCTTGCGGCGCTGGTGCAACGGCGGCCTGGCGAGTGGGCCGCCGCAGCCCCTCTCCCCCCCCGCACTCCCAGCACGATGCCGAAGCAGAGCTGCTCAGCACGCCTCAGCAGGCAGGCACTGCCGTCTCCCCAGACCTTGACCTCCTCCAGTCTGGTTTGCTCACTCCGCGGCCCCAGAGCTCCCGACCCCTTCCCCCGGGGGGTAGTGTTTCGTTCCAAGTCCATGTTTGATGGCTCCAGGGCCCAAACTGGGCCCCAGAGGCCGAAACCGATGAACAACGCCCCGCTGGAAAAAACAGGTCGTCGGATATCTGGGGAGTGGCGCCTCTGGGCCCCCCTGCAGCCGCGCGCTGCCAGCTGGCGCGGCCCGCGGATCCGAGCGTCCGAAGGTGCGCCGAGCTCCAGGGGGCCCCTCCGCGGGCGAGGGAGGCCAGGGTGCGGGCCTCCGGTTGGGGACCAAGTCTACATCGGCTACAGAGTTGAGGTACCCCAGAATCAATATTTTCGTCGAGTCCACGAAAATACGTATGGTGCTCGTAGATGTACGAGAATGGCAGGCCGTCCTTTTAGATTCGATGACATGTTCAATGTTGAGGGAACTCAATGCTGCAGTCCATCTCTTACTCGAAGTTTCGTCAGTTTGACACCTCCAGGATTAGAGTAGCTCGTGGTGCGTCCAGCGCTCGCCAGGTGCCTCCACGAGCTTGCAGAGGCCAGGAGCCTCGGTCTGTCCTTGGGGTGGCCTTCGTGAGGGGCAGCGGGCTTCCCTCGCTGCTGTATCGCCGCTGTCGCTCTTCTCGGATTGTCTTTCCTCCTTCTCCCCCTCCCTTTCCCCCTCCTCCTCCTCCTCCTCCTCCTCCTCCTCCTCCTCCTCCTCCTCCTCCTCCTCCTCCTCCTCCTGCTCCTCCTCTTCCCCACTTATCGGTACGGTCGCTCCTCCTCCCCACCCCCGCCGTGTATCCTCCTCTCTTCCTCTCCCTCTCGTGCGCTGCAGCGTGAGTAACCTCGTCCTGCTCGAGGGGGTTCGATGAGACGTGGCGTGAGCTCCGATGCTGGCGGCGTACTGCCCCGTCCAGGGCCACGCTGGCCTCGTGAGCTGATGACAGGACCCGCTCTCCTGCAGGATGTCGCCTCCCCTCCAAGACTTCCCGCATCGCGGTGCTGTCGCAGCGTGAGAGACGGAAGAAAACGTTGTCAATTGCGCGGACATTCGCCCGTAATTTGCTGGCGTCAGGTCGCGCGTAAGCGCCCTCTTCTCCACGCGGTGGGCCAAGCTGGCGGCCCGCATAGGCCTCTGCGTAAGGTCGCTATGGCAGCCTGCGTGCCTCACGTGGCTCCCCGGAGGCCTCCTCACAGCGCTCGAGGGGTGCCATGGCCGTCTTCGGGCTCACTTGGGCAGGCCGCTCTTGGGCCCAGTGCCGAAGCCTCGGGAGCCCCTCGAATCTCGAGGTTGGGATGGTTTGGTCGTACGCGCTTCCCACTGTTCTGGGAACCTGGGGGGCTTCTCGTCGTCACGGCGAGGTCCGCCTCGAAATCCCGGACATAACGCACCCCAGAACGGGTCCGGGGGTCGATTTGTGACCCCCGACCCTCCGACATGCGGACAGGTGTCCCTGCGGACTGTCATTATTAACATGAACCCATCGTGCGATGCGCAACAATCAAATCCGGGAGCTGTGTACATTGGAGCGGGAGGAGGAGTAGGAGGAGGAGGAGGAGGACGAGGAGGAGGAGGAGGAGGAAGAGGAAGAGGGGGAGGGGAAGGAGGAGGAGGAGAAGGAGGAGGAGAAGGAGAAGGGGGAGGAGGATGAGGAGGAGGAGGAGGAGGAGGAGGAGAAGGAGGAGGAGGGGGCGTAGATCCCCTCTCTACTCGCACAGTCGGATGTCGAGCAGGGCAATGACCCCGAAAGAGTACGCGATACATTGTAGAGCACGGCATGGTATGGCGTAGAAGAGCACCGCAAAGCGTAGTATCAACCTAGCATTGCATTGCATGCCGTGGCAATGCACGGGAAATGACGCCAGCGCTGCAGCGGGAGCACGAGTCGAAACGAGCGGAAGCGCGGAAATGAGGCCAGCGCTGCAGCGGGAGCACGTTTCGGAACGAGCGGAAGCACGGAAATGAGGCCAGCGCTGCAGCGGGAGCACGATTCGGAACGAGCGGGGCCCGAAAATGAGGCCGGCGCCTCAGCAAAGGCAGCATTTTGAAAAAGAATGCAGGCGAACACCCAACTCCGGGGAAACCTGTGTGTAAAAAAACAGTACGCGGGGGGGGGGTCGAGCACTTTCAAACCGTCATCAGGGGAAGAGGGAGAGTAGTATTCATATTGAGTAATTGTGGAGGGGGGGAGGAATAGGAGGAGGAGGAGATTTGTTCTGCTGTGGACGACTGCATGCTTGGCTCAAGACAGGACTAGCGAGCAGGCTAGACTGCACGGAAAAGTGCGGCTGCTGGCATTGAAGACATATTTGAGGGGCCCAGACATTATCCGAGCACCTAGGCAGCACGAAACATTTCGAAAATGTCGCAACGTAGGCCTGCCCCTGGATATAACATAATGAAGGGGGAAATGACAGCACAGAAAGCCCATCATGTTGAAGAGGCAGCTTGACCGTTCATGTTGATGCCCACGGCAATCTCCAGGACTTCGACACAATTCGCGAAGGACAACTCACCGCCACGTGCGAATACCCACTGCGCATGCCGATGAACGCCATCAGCCCGCCACCAAGCGCGACGGAAGCGCACCTCCAGCGGCTTCCAAGAGCGAGCCTGGATAGAGTGGGCGGCCTTCATGTACTCGAGCGTACGCTTCAATTGAGCAAGCTCGCCCAACTCAGCGTAGTCCGGTTCAGTAGGCACCGCCTCGTCCTCCACGCTTGGGCTGTTCCCCATGCTTGGATTTGTAGCCCCACCATGTAAATCTGGTACTGCCAGCCCCTCTGGATCTTGGGCAAGATGCTCCAACTCAAGCTGCAAGGCCGAAGTCAGACCCTCCTCCGAGGGCAGATCCGGAGATTCCTCGGCGATGTTGTAGTACTTCAAACCAGCGGCGGGGTAGGAGGGTCCGTGACGCCGCCCATCTCGCTGGCCGTCCACTCCCCCGACGCAGCCTTGATTCTGCGCGGAGGTGTTGCAGCCCTCCGAGGCCTTGGCGGAGCCGGTGGAGGCGGCACCGCAGGCAGCACCACCTTCGAGATCACCTGCTCCTGGAAGTTCTGCACATTCCTCGCGCGCCTCCTGGACAGCAACTGCACTTTGGGTGCAATGTGCTCCTTCGGCGCCGTCACCTGGGACTGCGGCGGAGGCAGAGGCGGGGGCAGCCCCGCCAACTGGCCCACCTTCTTGCTCTCCTTCTTGCCCTCGTTCTTCCCGTAGATGTTTTTCCGAAACGTCTGTTGCACCTGCTTGTACTGGTAGCGGCCCCTGTAGTTCGTCTTCCTCGGCTTGCGCGGCGCCTTCACAATGCACTGCACGTCCGCCCCCGCGCTCATGACAGCCCGAGACTTTTGCTCCGACGAAATTGGAGGCTCGATCATTTGGAAACGGAGGTCGGAGGTGGAGTACTGGCACCGCTGGAACTGGGACGAGAGAAACGTAGTGGCCGCTGGAATCAGACATGGTCTGCTGCACCACAGCCACTCCTGAGGCGCCTGGAGTGGCGTGAGGTCCCCCTGCGGGAGGTCCCCCTGCGGTGTCGGCATGGGACACTGGCCCAGGCCGATGGAAGGTGACGCTGAGCTCCACGCGGTGCCCGACGAGGACATTGAACTGGTCTGCATGCCCCAATGGTCGACCATGCATCTACAGAAGACGCTCCTGACCCTGCACTTCACCCGCAGGAAGTAGGAGTTTTCGGCCAGCTCAGTCCCGTAGGCGCTAAAGCCTGCACTGCGAAGCTGGTACAGCGGCAAGGCGCACGGCCTCGAGATTTAATGTGCCTGGTTAGAGCTAGCCAAATAGGCCTCAATGGAGGCACCAGCTCGAGCCCAAGCGGTAGCTTGAGAAAGGATGAGGAGAAAGAGGAGGCGGTGGAGGAGGAGGAGGAGGAGGAGGAGGAGGAGGAGGAGGGCGAAGAAGAGCAGGAGCAGGAGCTTGAGCAGGAGCAGGACGAGGAGGCGGAGGAACAGAAGAGTACGAGGAACGGGAGGAGCAGGAGAACCAGGGGAAAGGAGGGATACGGCTACGACGAGAAAGGAATTAGATTCAGGAACGTGTCCCGCGCTGGGCCGAGAGCGCCTTCCTGAACGACAAGGCCAAAGCGCCGACTCTTGAATGTGGCCAACGCCCAACGCTTCAGGAGCGTCAACTCTCGAGAGGTCAAGTCGCTCTGACTGGCCAGAGCAGATCGGCCAACTCGGGACACTCCCGTGCGCATGCATGAAAGAAGCCGTGTGCGGGATGGACGGGGAATGCGGTGGGGGCGTTCCTTAAGGAGTGTGCCTAGGAGGCTTCCCTGGAGGGTCCCTTATCCGATGAGGGCGGTGGTGACATCCATAGCCTCTCCACGATCGGAGCTTCATCGGCTTCCAGGCCCCTGGATTCCTTATCCAAGGGTTCCTGGTCCAATGCCCTCGCCGTAGCCAAGACAGCATCAGGGGAGAGAGAGGAGAGCAGCTCTCGGAGGGAGCAGCCGCGCAGCTGCCGGGGGCCGGGCCGCCCGAGGTGAAGAGCGCGAGCCTGAGCGGCGCGTGGCTCGGCGGGCGCACCCTGCGCGTGAGGCCGCTGGCCCGGAACAGGGCCGGGGCGAACACGGCGGGGAGCGAGACGGCCTGGAATTTCTCGCTGCAGGTGTCCGGGCAGCCGTGGAGGTCCCCCCCGCGTCGCGTGTGGGAGATCGCGGTAGGGGTGGGGCCAGGGCGGGGGCGGGTCGTTGCAGGGCGTTCCAGAAGGCTCGCAGAGCGTTCCAGAGCGCTCTGGGAGGGTGTCACAGCGCCCGACGCATCTTCCAAAGCCGCCGAATCTCAGGGATCCCTGATTTATGCCGGTCCGCGGTTGTTCCCGTCCTGGCTTCGTCTTTCGAGTAGTAGGTCGGTTACAGAATCGATGTGTTCCGAAGTGATTGTTCGTAGATCTGGCACAGATTATTCGCATCCTTCGTAAGTTCGACGAAGACAAGCTTGGGGCAAATCAATGGTGTGGTCGATCCCCTTCTCGAGTCTCACGCGGGCGGGCAGCATGTCCGTGGCCACGGCCGCGCGGTCCGGGCTCCTCGGCCGCGACCCTGCGGATGCAGGGCGGCTCTGCGTGGATGCACCACACGGAGCGTATCCACAGGAAGGATCGCGCATCCATAGGATCGCGCCTCGGCATCCAGGCCGCGAAGGCAGCAGTGGGGGTTCCTCGCGTCACGTGGGTCGCTCTGGAAAGAGCCTCGCCTTCGGGTTTCTGGGTCCTGCGGAGATGTCGCCCAGGGACGTCGCGAAGGCTGCGGCCGTCGTCTGAGTGCCTGGACGTCCGATATCCGGCGGCCCTTGTTCTTCGAGGCATGACACCCCCGGCCTCTCGACCCCCTGCCCCGGGGCCGGCTCTTCACCCAGAGTGGCTTCGGTGACCGTCTTGGGGCCCCGAAACCGGACCTCAGGGACCAGAAATTCGCGGAGCGCACCAGGGGGGGGGGGCGCGAGGCCCTCTTCGCAGGGCCTGGAGGCTTCCAAGAAGGTTCGCTAAGCGGAGGAGGAGGAGGGAGGAGGAGGAGGAGGAGGAGGAGGAGGAGGAGGAGGAGGAGGAGGAGGGGGAGGGGGAGGAGGAGGAGGAGGAGGAGGAGGAGGAGGAGGAGGAGGAGGAGGAGGAGGAGGAGGAGGAGGAGGAGGAGGAGCGGGAGGAGGAGAATGAGGAGGAGGGGGAGGGTGGGGGAGGAGGGGGGAGGAGGAGGGGGAGGGCCTTAGAAGCCAGGAGGGCTCTGGAGGAGCTCCATGCCTTCTTGTAGAAGGCCGCCCCTCTCGCGCCACCCCCTTTGCCACCTGCTTTGCCCCAGAACTCCTACGTCGCGATGGCCTCACAGCGTGGACCTGGAGAGGTCTCGACCCCTCACGTGGGACCGGCGCTTCATCCCGAGTCGTTTCTGTTCGGGCGTTGCTAGAGGTGCCCCTGGCCCAAGGTGCCCCCAGGATTCCCAAGGGGCCCCCCACGACCTCAAGAGCCCCCCTCACGAGGCCCAGAGAGCCCCAGGAGCTCCAAAGTCGAG